TGGTGGATACTTACAGGAAAACCTCTCCCGAGGTGAGCCGATCGTACAGGAACAATCTGTTTACGATGATGTTCTCGAGGCGCTCTGACCGCATCAGATCCGTCTCCTCAGCCGGCTGACAGGGGCCGTGACCCGGCTGACAGGCTCACCTGACCGGTCACGTGACACATCACGTGACCGAGACAAGACTTTTTTATATCGCAGATCCAAAAACCCATAGGACATTTCTCCCAGGGGGAAGAAAACCTCCCTTGACCCCCCTGTTTCTCGACGGATCCTGCCGGCCGGGCCCGTCAGTAGACCGACTGCAGCCTTCAGCCCCGCCTCAGACCCCCTGGAGGCCCGCCAGGAGGCTAAGTGTCCGGAGATTGGCCGGGGGCCTGATCTCTCCGGGCGGCCGTGACCGGTCAGCGGACCGTGTCAGCAGGCCCGTGACATGTCAGCCGGCTGACAGGGGCCGTGACCCGGCTGACAGGCTCACCTGACCGGTCACGTGACACATCACGTGACCGAGACAAGACTTTTTTATATCGCAGATCCAAAAACCCATAGGACATTTCTCCCAGGGGGAAGAAAACCTCCCTTGACCCCCCTGTTTCTCGACGGATCCTGCCGGCCGGGCCCGTCAGTAGACCGACTGCAGCCTTCAGCCCCGCCTCAGACCCCCTGGAGGCCCGCCAGGAGGCTAAGTGTCCGGAGATTGGCCGGGGGCCTGATCTCTCCGGGCGGCCGTGACCGGTCAGCGGACCGTGTCAGCAGGCCCGTGACATGTCAGCCGGCTGACAGGGGCCGTGACCCGGCTGACAGGCTCACCTGACCGGTCACGTGACACATCACGTGACCGAGACAAGACTTTTTTATATCGCAGATCCAAAATTGCTACACCTTCTGCGGTCCAGGTACCCGTGTGGTCGGCAGCTCGTGCTCCGCCTGCCCGCAAAACACCTACCAGGACAAGAGTATGCAAGATTCCTGCATCCAGTGCGGGCCAAACTCGCGCACCCTATCCACGGGCGCATCCAGGGCGCTCGACTGCCTCTGCCTGCCCGGGTACTACGCGTCGTACCAGGGGGGATGCGTCTCCTGTCCCCGGGGTTCGTACAAGGACTCCCTCTCCAACGACCTCTGCACGCCTTGCGACTTCGGCACATACCTGGGCTCGACGGGGGGGACCGCCGCGAGCGACTGCGTCCCCTGTGCGGTGGGGAGCACCACGCGCGACCAGGGGCAGTTCTCGCCCTTCAGCTGCGTGTGCGACGTGGGTTACACGGGGAAGGACGGGAGCCAGGCTTGCACGGCCTGCCCTTCCGGCAAGTTTAAGACGACGATGGGCTCCGACCCGTGCGAGAACTGCACGGCGTACTCACCCGAGTGCGACACGTGCGACGTCAACCAGGTCATTCAGTACAGCTTCATCTGCGAGGACTGTAACAACTTCCGGTGCATCACCTGCCCGGAGGGCACGTACCGCTCGCAGCGCTTCGGGCTGTATCCCTCCTGCTACACCTGCCCGGGCAACTCTTCGAGCCCCGCCGGGAGCACGGCAATCACCGACTGTGTCTGCAACGACGGCTTCACAGGGGTGATCACCTCCGACAGCTCCGTTTGCACCCCGTGCTCGCTGGGAAGCTTCGCCACCGGCGGGGGTCCGTGCAATCCCTGTCCCGACCCCTACTTCTGGACGGACGGGCACGCTGGTTCGATAGATGACTGCTTCTGCAGATACGGCAGGTACAAAGTCGTCATTGGCATCTACAGCCACTGCCAGGATTGCCCCGATGGCCAGTTTTCCGTGGATGGCCTGACCTGCAGCGCCTGCCCAACTGGCTTTGTCGGGGCGACGGGTTCCGCGGGCTGCGTCTGCCCGGCCGACTACTACTCCGGTTACAACAGCATCGTGTACAACATGATTACATTCGAGGGCTTTTGCTCGCGAGGCGTGATCTCCTCCCCCGTGGCCCAGTTCTCGGTGCAGTCCTCGCTGAACGAGCGCGGCCTGCGGTGCTCTGTGACCATCAGGGGATCTTTGACCGATTCTCTGGTATCCATCGAGAACATAATCCTGAGCTATGGCAGCGCCAATCGCTTCGTGATGAGCTACTCGGGGCACGCGGCCTGCGAGGGCCTGGAGACCTACAGCGCTTTGTCCTTCACGGGTGTGGACATCTCCGGCTTCCACTTCCTCAAGAACGAGGGCACGAGATGCATCCGGGTGGATATCTACAAGTCGGACCACAGCGATATCAGCGTGGACTTCAACATCAAATCCATTTGCAAGCCCTGCCCCGCCTTCAGCTCGCTCGCGGCGGGGACAGTGGACCAGACCTCCTGCAGCTGCAACTCTGGGTACGTGCTGTTGCAAGGAAACTGCTACCTCTCGACCTGCGCGGCAGGCACCTACGTGGTGCAGAACAGCTGCGTCAACTGCCCGGCCAACACCTACAAGACGACATCGACGGCGCTCTACAGCGACTGTCTGCCCTGTCCCGCGCACTCCACGTCCCCTCCCGGGAGCACTTCGCGGTCGATGTGTTCCTGTAATGCCGGCTACTTTGGCCTCTCCGCGCAGGGGGAGTGTGAGGACTGCCCTGCCGGGACCTACCAACCCAGCGCGGGCCAGACGGTGTGCGAGTCGTGCTCTCCTGGATTCACCACGGAGGTTATCGCCGCAACTTCAGAGGATGACTGCCTGTGTCCTCCGGGGACCGGGCAAGAGATCGACGCGGTGCTGGGCGCTGTGTGCAGGCCATGCCCGCTGGGGACGTACAAGGCCGTGGCCGGGGCGAGCGGGTGCAGGGAATGCCTGTTAACGAAGACGACACTGCAGACCAGCTCCACAAGTCCCTTCGACTGCGTTTGCCTCCCCGCCTTCCAGCCCGACGTCGCTGGCAACTGCTATCCCTGCCCCGAGGGGCACTACAAGGCAGAGGCCGGCAACTCCCCTTGCATCCCCTGCGTCAACGGGGTGATCAGCAGCGACGGAACGGCCTGCATCTGCGCGAGGGGGTACGCAGGGAGCAGTCCGACGGGCACAGAAACCTGCACGGCCTGCCCCGCGGGAATGAGCAAGCCCTTCACTGGACCAGGGGAGTGCAGCGCCTGTCTCCCGGGCCAGTACTCCCCAAACCCCGCCTCCAGCGCGTGCATCGACTGTGCCCCGGGCTTCTTCTCCCCGGGCAACGTCTCCTCCTGCACCCAGTGCCCGTTGAACACCACCACCGGCTCTTCCGACCGCTCCATATCCGACTGCGTCTGCACCGAGGGTTACGGGGGGAGCGGGCCATGGGGCTGCCGCGCCTGCCGCCCCGGGGAGTACAAGGAAACGATCGGCAACCTCCCCTGCACGCCCTGCCCCAACGAGGGGGTGTTGGGACCGGAAGGGAGCACGACCGTTCTGAACTGCATGTGCGGGCCCGGCTACTCGCGCGAGGGAGACGGCACCTGCCAGCCCTGCCAGGCCGGGCGCTGGAAGGAGAGCACCGGGGATGCGGCCTGCACGCTCTGTCCGCCCAACAGCTGGAGCCCCGAGGGAAACGTCAACAGGAGCTCGTGCTACTGTCTCCCGGGCTTCTTCACGGCCTCCCCGGGGGTGTGCGTCGAGTGCCCGACGGGTTTCTACAACGAGGAGAACGGGGTGGACGTCTGCAAGAGGTGTCCGCCATTCTCATGGAGCATGCTGGGGAGCGACGAGCTCACGGACTGCCTGTGCTACCAGGGGTACTACTTCTCCGCCGGGGAGTGCTTGAAGTGCCTGCCGGGCACATTCAACCCCTTCAACGGGAGCACCTTTTGCCAGGACTGTCCCGAAGGCTCTACCAGCCTTCCGGCCTCCACGCGCCTTGCCAAGTGCTTCTGCCCCGTCGGTAAAACCGGGGGCAACGGGGCGGTCTGCACCGACTGCGACTTTGGGTCGTACAAGGACATCAACGGGTCTGCATCCTGCTCGCCCTGCCCCCTCGGTCTCAGCACGCTGTCCACGGGCTCTACCTCCCTCCTTGACTGCGTCTGTGCCGTGGGGTACCAGCTCGTCAATGGCAGCTGCGCGGAGTGCCCGTTCGGGACTTACAGGGACAGCCTCTCCCAGCCTGCCTGCGTGGACTGCCCTTCCGGGTTCGTCACCTCGGCGAAAGGGGCAACGTCGATCCAGCACTGCGTCTGCCCGGCGGGACAGGCCGGCAGGAACGGGATAAGCTGCTCCCCGTGTGTGGAGGGGACGTACAAGCAGTCCTTCTCCCGGGCGCCGATCGAGCGGTACACCCCTTCCCTTTCGTTCCAGCCGTCTACCACCTTGGTGGCACCACCCGAGACAGTTCGCACGGTCGCCGCCTCCTTCTATGCCGATGTGGTCTTCCCCGCAAGCCCTCCCCGTTCCACGCTGTTCTCCTTTGGGGGTGCTGCCATAGGGCTCTGGGCGGGGATTATTAGGAGCACCGCCCCCATCACGATGCGGGTGAGGGTGGGTAACGCCACTCTATCTATTCATCCCGGGAGTGTCTATGAAGGCCTTGCCTACATGGACTTCCAGCCCCCCACGGACGGGCTGGCGCACCAGCTGTATGTTTCAGTGAGGGTCACACCAGGCGAGGTCCTCGTGTGGATCGACGGGCAGTTTTCCGGCCGTGGGGTGACGAAGGGACTCACACCCCTCTCCTCCTTCCTGTGGGCCGACAGCGGGGACGGGTCCTTCATCTCCGCACCCTCGTCTTCCGTGCCATCCGGTGAGCCCACCGCGGCGTTTCCGGGATCTGCGGTGTCGGCCTTGAACTACTACAACCCCGACCGCATCCCCACTTTGGAGAGTGCCGTGTGCCTGCCCTGCCCGCTCGGGGCGGTGGGCCCGGAGGAGAGCAACTCGGCGACGGCCTGCACGTGTCCTCCGAGCTACAGGTCCGTCTACGCTGCGGAGGGGCTCGTCGGTTCATGCAGTCTCTGCGAGGCCAACACCTTCCTTGCCAACCCGGGTGACATCAGCTGTACACCGTGCCCGGGAAATCGGACATCACCAGAGGGTAGCGTATCCGTCTTTGACTGCTCCTGCCTTCCTGGATACATTGGCCAGCCCGGTCATGCCTGCGTGGGCTGCAACCTGGGGACTTACCGCCTGAATGAGACCCACTGCGAGCCCTGCCCCCCGTTCAGGACCTCTGATTTTGCCGCTGACTCAGTCGACGAGTGCTACTGCATCCCGGGATACTTCCTGGGATCTGGGAAGTGTGAGCCCTGCGCTGCTGGGACCTACTGGGACTTGGGGATATGTAGATCCTGCCCTGACAATGCAGATTCACCGGAGGCCAGCGTGGATATCACGCGCTGTTCTTGCAACCCCGGGTACACTGGGAGGAACGGGGAGGAGTGCGTCCCCTGCAACCCTGGAACTTACAAGCTCGGGTCCGACCCTGGCATCTGTTTCAATTGCCCGAAAAACACTGTCTCTCCTCCTGCGAGTGGATCCGTCCTGGATTGCGTTTGCCAGGCCGGCTACACCGGGGCGGATGGGGCGGAGTGTGCGGCGTGTCAGGCGGGCAAGTTCAAGGCATCCATAGGGAGCGAAGACTGCACCGGTTGTCCTGGTGGATCGACCTCCCTGATCGCCTCGATCTCACCGCTGAACTGCACTTGCAAGCCCGCGTTTCAGCCTACAGAATCCGGGTGCGAGCCTTGCCCGATCGGGACGTACAAAGACAACAGCCTTAACCAGCCCTGCTTCACCTGCCCTCGCAACTCCAGTACCGTCGCGGTGGGCTCGGAGTTTATCACCGCCTGCCAGTGCGTGGGAGGGTACGTCGGGGAGAGGGGCGGGCCGTGTGTACCCTGCAATTCCTCTTCCTACAAGATCACGTACCTGACGTGCCAGCCGTGTGGGACGGGGCAGTACTCCCCGCCAGCAAGCGACTCGATAGAATCCTGCGTCTGCGGCGAGGGCTTTTACCCGGTTCAGGAAGGCTGCGCGCCCTGCAATCCGGGGGCGTTCAAGAATTGGGTGGGGGACGACGCTTGTGAGATCTGCCCTGAAAACACCACCACCCTGAACTACGGTTCCGTTTCTTCAGAGTCCTGCACCTGCGTACCGGGCTTCCACCGCTTGAACGAAGGAAGCGCCTGTGAGAAGTGCCCTTCGAACACATACAAGAATGTATCCGGAGAGACAGGCTGCAGCCCCTGCCCGCAGCACTCCACCTCTCCAGCGGGCTCTGTCTCCATACAAGAATGTATCTGCGGGGACCGCTTCACCCGCTTCGGCGATATCTGCAGCCAGTGCGAGGCGGGGTTCACCTACAACAACATCACTTTCGAGTGCGAGAAGTGCAGCGGGCAGCGCACCACCGTCGAGAACGACGTGAATCTATACCAGTGTTACTGCCCGGCCGGCTACCGCTTCAGCCAGCCCCCCGGGACGTGCCTTCCTTGTCGCTTTGGAGAATTCCGCCCCTTCTCGCCGACGGACTCTTGCAGCCTCTGTCCGCCTAACTCCACCACGATCATCGCGGCAAGCCCCACCGCCGAAAACTGCGTCTGCCTGCAGGGATTCACCGGCCAGGCCTCCTCCTGCAGCCTCTGCCCGGCCTCTACCTACAAGAACGCGACAGGGGCCGAGCCCTGCACCCCCTGCCCAAACAATTCGGTGTCGAATCTCGGATCCACCTCCCGCTTCCAGTGCCAGTGCCTGCCGGGCTACACCTCCCCCGCGGGCGTCCTGTGCCAGCAGTGCGGGAACAACACCTTCAAGGAGGGGCTGGGCAACCTGGGATGCATCCCCTGCTTCGACAACTCCGTGTCACCGCCCGGCAGCAACTCGAGCGAATCCTGCATCTGCGACGCCGGGTCCTACCTCCGCGCCCCGAGCTTCTGTGACTCGTGCCCGCTGGGGACCTACAAGGATGCGATAGGGAATCAGGATTGCAGGGACTGTCCGGGCAACACCAAGACAGTCATCTTAGGTGCAACGTCTGTGGAGGTCTGCGTTTGTGTGCCTGGTTACCTGTACGATCCCGACGTGGGAGACTGCGTGGAATGCCCGCAGGGATTCTTTCTCGACGGCTCCGGGGGGATCTGCACACGATGCCCCGAGAACATGACCACAGTGGCAGCGGCGAGCGCCACGCCCAACTCCTGCCGCTGCAAGCCTGGCTACAGCCCGGATGACAACGGTGTGTGCAAGGCCTGTCGTGCCAACACTTACAAGGGCAGCGTCAGCCAGAATCCCTGCACCCCATGCCCTGAAAGAACGGTATCGCCTGCGGCTTCCACGGATGTAGACATGTGCGTCTGCGACCGCGGTTACACCAGCCTCCTCGGGCTCTGCGTGGCGTGCGATGCGGGCAAGTACAAGGACTCCACGGGAAACCAGGCCTGCACGCCGTGCCCGGATGACTCTACCAGCCCCCAGGGCGCGGCCAACGTCACACAGTGCCGCTGCAACCCGGGCTACGAGGGCAACAGCGCCGTGGGCTGCACGGCCTGCCAGGCTGGCTTCTATAACGACGACGGGCAGGTGTCCTGCAAGCGCTGCCCTACCAACTCCACCAGTCCCCCGGCATCTCCGCTGCTCTCCTCCTGCGCGTGCATACCTGGGTACTACGGCCAGAACGGGGTGGACTGCGAGGCATGCCCATCCGGGAAGTACAAGTCCCTGACTGGCGATTACGCCTGCTTGCCGTGCCCAGACGACTCCGACAGCCAGCCTGCAAGCGCCTCGCAGTCCCTTTGCCTCTGCAACCCAGGCTTCTACGGGCCTGGAGGTGGGCCTTGCGCGCAGTGCGATGCGGGGAGGTACTCCAGCGGGTCTGGGTTCAGTGCTTGTCTTTCCTGCCCGGAACACTCCAGCTCCCCTCTACAGTCGGACTCTCCCCTCGATTGTGTCTGCAACAGGGGTTTCATTGAATCCACCCGGGTCAACGGCGTTCCTACCTGCACGGCCTGCCCTACCGGGGAGTACGAGGATAGCGGGAGCTGCCTGCCTTGCCCTGAAAACTCCACCAGCCTCACCCAGGCGGGAGTGGGAGTTGCAGCCTGTAAGTGCCTCCCAGGATATACCGGCCCGGACGGCGGGCCCTGCTCCCCTTGCCCTTCCAACAGCTACAAACCAAACCACGGGGAGTTCAGCCGTATGAACCTCCTGAATCAATCCTGGGCGTTTCCAGCGCTGTCCACTACGGTATATGCAGCAGATAAGGCAATGGACGGAAGCACGGCCACCTGTGCGGAGACCGGGGTGGAGGTGAGCCCCTGGCTGCAGGTGTCGTTCCAGAGCCCGCAGTTACTCTCCCTTGTCTTCCTTCAGAGTTGTGCAGACTGCTCGTTGACCGGTATCGACGTCAGCGTAGGCAACTTTACCGACTTTACTGTCAGTCCCTTCTGCGGGAGCTACATCTCTCTCGCGGGTGGGGCACCGATCACATTCGCGTGCTCACTGGTTGGTTCCTTCTTCACCGTCAGTGCCCCTTCCCTCAATTCCGGGCTTAAGCTATGCGATGTCGCTGCCTACTCGACCTGCCCGCTCTGCCCGCTGCATTCCCGTTCGACTCAGCCCGCCGCCACCTCTTCCACGGCATGTGAGTGTGAGCCGGGCTACACCGGACCGGGCGGGTATGATTGTGCGGCATGCGAAGCGGGGAAATTCAAGGCTGAAGTCGGGTCGATAGCCTGCACGTCCTGTCCTGACTATTCGACGAGCCAGGAAGGTCAGGCCAGCGCTTCCAGTTGTGTATGTATCGCAGGAAGGACAAGGGACGCAAACGGGGATTGCTCTCCCTGCGATTCGGAATCGTACAAGGAGACTGTCAGCAACGAGGCCTGCACCCCCTGCCCTTCGAACTCGGAGTCTACAGGGGATAGGAACGCCCTCGGGACCTGCCGCTGCCAGTCGGGCTACACCGGGGCGGACGGCGGAGAGTGTGCGGCCTGCCCGGCTGGGTCTTACAAGACCCTCCCCGGCCCCACTCTCTGCGACCTCTGCCCACCCAACACATACCAGCCCTACCTGGCTTCCACCACCTTGGACGACTGCCAGGAATGTCCAACAGGGAGCGTCAGCCCGGCTGGGAGCACGAATGAAGACACCTGCGTCTGCAAGCCCGGCTTCGAGCCAGGGTCTTCTAGCTACTGCCAGGAGTGCCCTATGGGGTCCTTCAAGGCCATCACCTCCATGCTCCCCTGTCAGGCCTGCCCGGAAGACACCTACCAGCCCAACCTGGGAGCCAACCGCTCGGCTTCATGCCTTGTCTGCCCCGACCACTCCTTCTCCTCGGCAGGGTCGGTGGCCATCTCCGAGTGCCTCTGCGACGTCGGCTACGCGAGGGTGGGGGACACCTGCTCTCACTGCAACTTCGGTTTCTACAAGGACACCACCGGCAACGGAGCCTGTACAGAGTGCCCCACTCACACCACCACCCCTACGATCGCTTCCGCCTCGCTGGAATCCTGCGAGTGCCTCCCGGGCTTCGAAGCCCCAACCCATGGTGTGGCCTGCACGGACATCGACGAGTGCAGCGCTCTAGCAAGCCCCTGCCCGCTCAACGCCTTCTGCACCAACACGGTGGGATCCTACACTTGCACCTGCCTCACGGGCTGGTACCCCGTCATCGGGCAGTGCCAGGACGTCGACGAGTGCAGGCAGGGAACCGACACTTGCGACAAGAACGTGAGCTTCTGCGAAAACACCCAGGGTTCATTCATGTGCTTTTGCAAAGAAGGCTACTACTACAGCCTATCCGAATCTGCCTGCGTAAACCTTAACGAATGCGCCGCGGCGGTAGCCCCCTGCCCGATCAGCTCCGTCTGCACCGACACGGTTGGAAGCTTCGAGTGCAACTGCATTGAAGGCTACGGCGAAGACCCCGAGACGGGACTATGCATCAACCTCGACGAGTGCGCGGGAAACCCTTGCTTCGAAAACTCCATGTGCATCGACCTCGATGGATCCTACCGCTGCGAGTGCAAGCCCGGCTTTACCTTCGACGCCACCAACACCTCCTGCCTTGACCACGCCACCTGCAGCAACACCCCCGGAAGCTTTCTATGCACCTGCAACGAGGGCTACCGCGGTCCGGGTTACTACTGCGAGTGCGCCATATGTGTCGACTGCCCCGCCGGCTCCTACTGCTTCAATGAGACGCAGTTCTTGTGCCCTCCCTTCTCGACCTCCCCTCCCAACTCGCAGAGCAACTTCTTCTGCACCTGCTTCGATGGCTTCTACTCCACCAGCCTCTTCACGACGGAGTGTCTCCTCTGCCCCTCGGGTTTCAGCTGCTACGACAACGGGATCTACAACTGCACAGAGTTCAGCACGAGCACGACGGGGTCGGGATCCTGCGTGTGCGACCCGGGCTACTACGCCGACCCCAACTCGATCCGGTACAAATGCCTGACCTGCCCGGAGAACTTCTATTGCGAAGGCGGGTCGAACATTGCCAGGTGCCCGCTGAACCGCTACTCCCTCCCTGCGACCAGCAACGCCTCCAACTGCTTCTGCGCGGCGGGCTCCTACACCTCCGCCTCGGGGGAGTGCTTCGACTGCCAGGAGCTAACATACTGCCCCTTCGGCACCCCGGAACCCTTGGACTGCCCAGCCAACACCTACTCCGCTGCCCGCTCCTCGTCCAAGGCGGACTGTCTCTGCGAGGTCGGGTACGGGTCTTACAACAACTCCGACTGCCGGCTCTGCCCCGCGGGGTACTGGAAGGACTTCCGTGCGACGGTGCCCTGCTCTCCATGCCCCGGTAACACCTACCTTCCCGAGATCGGGACGGTCAACGCAAGCGATTGCAGGGCTTGCCCCGCCAACTCCACCTCCCCCAGCGGTACTCCGCTCATCTCCCAGTGCCTATGCGTCAGGGGCTACTACCGCGAGGGGGACGCCTGCCTGTCTTGCCCGGCGGGCTTCTACTCCGACAACCTCAACCAGTTCACCTGCACCCCTTGCGGGGACAACCAGTACTCCACCGTGAGCACCTCCCCCAGCGCCTCCAACTGCGTCTCCTGTACCGGGAACAGCACTAGAGTCGCAATCGATGTTGCTTCCTGTCTCTGCAACCCTGGGTTCGCAGGTGGTATTCATCAAGGGGGTCTGACTTGCACACAGTGTGAGAAGGGATACAGCAAGGCCACTTTCGGTAATGTTTCATGCACTATCTGTCCAAACAACACCTACGCGGACGAGCGGGGCCTTTCGGCGTGCAAGACATGCCAGCCCAACTCGGTCTCCCCGCCAGGCTCGGTCTCCCCATCGGAGTGTCTTTGTGAGCCAGGGTACGAGTACAACTCCGGCGAGTGCCAGATATGCAGACCCGGGACCTACAAGGTCGGCTTCGGCAACTCCGCCCGCTGCCTGAAGTGCCCGGAGGATACATTCCTGCAATCCGACGGGGGTTCTAGCATCGATCAATGCATACGATGCCCTTCCAATGCAATCTCCAGGAACGGCTCCTCGTCTGTATCAAACTGCAGCTGCGTCCCGGGTTACTACGCCGTGGACGGTGACATCACTTTCGTCTGCCGGGAGTGCGGGCCCGGTTACTATGCCGCGCGTTACAACCAGAGCGTCTGTGATGCCTGCCCAGCGGGAACGTACTCGGAGGATCTGACAGCTGTAGCAGAGAGCGACTGCCAGAAGTGTCCCGATAACACAACCAGTGATAATCATACAGGGAATATCACAGGATGCCGCTGCACCCATGGTCACTTCGGCAGGAATGGGCAGGCCTGCTCTCCCTGTCCTGTCGGAACCTACAAAGACGCGCAGGGTGATCTGCCGTGTGAGATCTGCCCGGATGACCGCTACTCCGACACCCTGGCGGCGGTTTCCGTAGGGTTCTGCCTGGAATGCCCCTCCCACAGCACGAGCTTCGATTCCATCAAGGCCACCCTCGCGGCATGCCTCTGCGACCCTGGCTACACCGGGACCTTTGGGAATTGCAGTGCGTGCATACCCGGGGGATACAAGACAACCTACGGCTCCGCGGAATGTACGCCCTGCCCGAACAACACCTACAGCACCACCCCCGCTGCCATCTCGGAAGACTCCTGCCAGCCCTGCCGTGAGAACAGCATCTCTGCGGAAGGAACAGCGGTGGAGCTGGGTTGTCAGTGCCTGGGGGGCTTTGGGTACGTATCCGGGAAGTGCACAAAGTGCCTGGAGGGGTACTACAAGGATACCGTCTCCAACCGCGTCTGCGAAGCTTGCCCCACTGACACTTACAACCCGCTGAACCAGTCCTCTCGGTCCTCGGACTGCCTCGCCTGCACCAACTTCTCCTCTTCACCGGAAGCTTCCACCAGGAAGACCGATTGTGAATGCGACGACGGCTATGGTGGGCCGGACGGTGGGCCCTGCGCCGCCTGCCCCGATGGCTTTTTCTCCAACGCCTCGGAAACGGCCTGTATCGAGTGCGGGTTCGGACAGACGAGCCTTTCCGACCGATCTTCGTGCAGGCCTTGCCTCTCAGGCACTCATGGACCCCAACCCGCAAACCCCTTTTGTCCGGAATGCTTCCCGGGGAGCTACCAGGAATATTCCGGCCAAAGCTTCTGCTCTCTGTGCCCGATCGGGAAGGCATCCAGAGCCGAAGGCTCCAACACCTCCCTCACCTGCCAGAACTGCTCGGCGGGCTACCACGCCCCATCCCCCGGAACATCCTCTTGCCTGATCTGTACAGGCGGAACATACTCGCTTGCAGCATCCGGGGAGTGTATACCCTGTGACCAGGGCTCGGTCTCCCTCCCCGGCTTCAGCGCCTGTCTCCAGTGCGTGCCGCAGACCTACGCAGACGCCAACGCCACCCACTGTGAGGACTGTGAAGAAGGCACCTACTCCGATTTTGGGTACACCTCCTGCATCAGCTGCGAGCCGGGCTACCGCCTTGACTTTGGACTGCGGGAGTGCATTGGCTGCGACAACAACACTTACTCCAATGAGTTCCGCCTTGTCTGCCGCGACTGCCCTCCCAACTCGACGAGCCCTGCACTTTCAGGCAGCGTCTTCGACTGTGTCTGCGCAGAGGGCTACGAGATCCAGCTCGTCGCGGGGGTCTACCAATGCGTGGCCTGCCTGGTTGGGCACTATCGGGGTCCCGGCATGCTCTTCTGCGAGCCCTGTCCCCCGGGTTACTTTGGAAATTCTCCCGCCTTGGCCCAGTGCGAGCCCTGCCCCGCTGGCTTCTACGAAGACACCAACGGGTCCTCCGCCTGCATTCCCTGTGACTTTGACACCTACCAACCCATCATAGCCGCCACCCGAGCCGAGCAGTGCCTCCCGTGCCCGGCCAACTCCATCACGTACAGGGCCGCGGCGGAGTTCCAGTACGACTGCCGGTGCGTCCCAGGGTACGAGTACAGACTGCAGCCAGTAGCGTCGGGGGGCTACGACATGGCCTGCACGGCCTGCCAACCCGGAAAGTTCAAGGATAGCACGCTGAACGAAGCCTGCCGTCCCTGTGAAAGGGGGTCTTACGCTGCCGGGAATGCTTCGCTGTACTGTGAATACTGCCCACTCGGCACCTCCGGCATTGCGAAGGGACAGACATCCTGTCCTCCCTGCAAGGAAGGCTACTACGCCTCGAACTCGATCGAGGTCGTTTCAGGCTGTGTCCCCTGCCCCTCCGGCATGACGACGCTCTTCACGGGTAGCCAGAGCACGGGAAGTTGCCGCTGCCTCCCGGGTAACACCCCGGTCGACCCGCTGGTGCCCTTGAAGGGCTGCCGGACCTGCTACCCTGGGCATTACAAACCCGGCGTCAGCAACCTTCCGTGCTCCTCCTGTGATTTCAACACGTACCAGCCCGAGTACGGGGCGGTGGATTCCAGCAGCTGCCTGTCTTGCCCCAACCACTCCCTATCGCTCTCTAGCACGGCGAGCATCGATGGTTGCATCTGTGAGTCGGGATACGAGAGGATCGGGGAGGACACATGCAGTCCCTGTAGTCCTGGAAATTACAAACCCTCTCTGAGCAACACGGAGGTGTGCGTCCCGTGTTCGGTGGGCTACTTCTCCGAATTGCCCGCTTCTTCGTTCTGCACTCCGTGCACAGCCATCGGCCTCTACACTACAACGGCAACCAGCGCCTCCAACTCGAGCGATTCATGCAAGTGCATACCTGACTATGGCCTTGCTTCCATGACCAATGCTACGAAGACCTGCGTCCCCTGCGGTGCACTCTCTTTCAAAAAGGGACTGGGAGACCAGCCCTGCCAGTCCTGCCCTCTCAGCGACAGCATCGCAAAGCACTACCTCGTCACCGACTACTCCTGCCTAGCCCGCTGCGACCCGGGCTACATCCTCGATGAGGCCTACGACGCGTGCCAGCCAGAGTCCAAGCTCCTCTCCCCTGTCACTGACGATCTGATCATCACGAACGTCTCCGGGGATGGGTTCCATGACGCTATCATCGGGAGTATGCTGCTAAGACACACCTCCGGGACATCCATCCCTGTCCTGTATGTTTCTAGGAGCATCCCAAGAGTCGAATGCAAGGCATGCTGCCTCTCCGAGATCCAAGGTGATACTTCCGAAGAACTCCTCCCCGCCTCTCTCTCCGTCACGTACCAGACCTGTCCCAACGGGACTTGCAACTGTGAAGAACTAGAGAATGCATTCTATGACAAGTACGTTCCCTACGGACAGGACACGTACGGGTTCATGACCCTCTCCCCTGCTTACGGCGGGCTCTATCGCTTCTCCATCGACGCCGCCGCGCTGGAGCCCGTCGTGAACTGCACGCCCTGGGGTCAGGGGTGGCTGAACTGCAGCTTCTACATTGCGGCCACGTTCATCCAGGTAGACTCCACCCTGTCTGCAACGTATCACACGGTCTACCATAGGGTGAGCTACAGTCGTGGCGTTTCGGCCTCCGTGTCGGTAATCCAGAAGGTGCAGCCGGGGATGGTCTCCTACCTCTCCCTCTCACTGTACCGGTTCGCAAGCTCGAACATGTACGCCGCCCGCTTCGTCTTCGGGGGAGACGAGGAGCTGCTGGTAAGAGCCCAGGCCATGACCTACATACTCCGCTATGGCGGCTGGAAGGGGTGGGATGTCATCGATGAGCAGAGGATATGCGCAAGCCTGGCCCCCCTCCCTTCATGCTGGTCCGGGAGCCCGGTACTCCACGGCGCAGTCGTCATCGACCAGAACACGGCCGGGGCCCATTGCGAGAGGCTCTTCACCTGGCGGCCGGGTTGGCCGATGTACGTCATCTTTCAAACACCCCAGCTTGCCAATGAGTTTGATACAGCGAGGGTTACCCTCCTGTTGGCTTCCAGGAAAGGTGGATATGCCTTCACAGGGGTGGCCCTCACAGGGAAATTCCTGGAAACCTGCACGGCGAGCCTCGTCTCGGTGGACGAAAGGAAGCTCCCCGCCGCCTTCCGCTTCGGGCTGAACAGCTCCTGGATTCCTTACACATCGGGTATTGAATTCCCCTCTATGTCTGAATCGATACAAGATTCGCTATTGTCAGTGAGGATAGGAGTCGCCGGGGTAACAAGGGTCGAGATCGTCCTCATCCACGCCATCGGCGATCTCCTCCCGGGCCTAATCCGCGGGCTGATGGACCAGGGTAGGGTCTTCCTCACCCAAGGTACCAGCCACGTCGTCCTCTCAGATACATTCCAGAAGGCCTGCTGGATCTGCGATATAAAAAAGTCTTGTCTCGGTCACGTGATGTGTCACGTGACCGGTCAGGTGAGCCTGTCAGCCGGGTCACGGCCCCTGTCAGCCGGCTGACATGTCACGGGCCTGCTGACACGGCCCGCTGACCGGTCACGGCCGCCCGGAGAGATCAGGCCCCCGGCCAATCTCCGGACACTTAGCCTCCTGGCGGGCCTCCAGGGGGTCTGAGGCGGGGCTGAAGGCTGCAGTCGGTCTACTGACGGGCCCGGCCGGCAGGATCCGTCGAGAAACAGGGGGGTCAAGGGAGGTTTTCTTCCCCCTGGGAGAAATGTCCTATGGGTTTTTGGATCTGCGATATAAAAAAGTCTTGTCTCGGTCACGTGATGTGTCACGTGACCGGTCAGGTGAGCCTGTCAGCCGGGTCACGGCCCCTGTCAGCCGGCTGACATGTCACGGGCCTGCTGACACGGTCCGCTGACCGGTCACGGCCGCCCGGAGAGATCAGGCCCCCGGCCAATCTCCGGACACTTAGCCTCCTGGCGGGCCTCCAGGGGGTCTGAGGCGGGGCTGAAGGCTGCAGTCGGTCTACTGACGGGCCCGGCCGGCAGGATCCGTCGAGAAACAGGGGGGTCAAGGGAGGTTTTCTTCCCCCTGGGAGAAATGTCCTATGGGTTTTTGGATCTGCGATATAAAAAAGTCTTGTCTCGGTCAGGTGTATGTTTTCCCGTGAGGGG